TGATTTCTTGCTCTTGCACAATAAGCTGCTCTATAGGCGTCCTTCACTGAGTGCACTGCACATACCTGGGAAGCCAGAGTGGTTTTGCAGTGCATTGTGTGGACTGAGTAGAGTTCACTAAACTGAACTCTCATAGAGGAAAGATACACCTAATTCTGTGAACAATATCCTCTCTTCTAGGTGAGACAGTAGAGTGGGGTTTAGAGCAGCTAAGGACTCTGCAGATAATGTGGCCCAGCTTCTCGGACACACAAAGATATTCATATAATTCTTGTTGCCTCCATTTTCAAGTCGCCATGGTGTGTCTCCAAATCATCCTATCGATGCTTTTAAATCTTCACAAATTTGGCTTAATGGTGCTCACTCAATTTCTCTTTGCTTTTCATCTCAAAGTATTATTGACAATTTCCAGTGGTGTTTTGCTCCATTTTATTCCTTATCTTGTCACATTGAATATCTTGTATTTTGAATTTATACGAACCTGGCAATACTCATGTTTAAGGATTAAAAATAATTTTCAGAAACACAATTATTAATCTTTATTTATAGAAAGAATATGACTTTGGACCCAGAGGAAAAAAGAGATTCAATACTTGGATGTAGATGCCTTCGCAGGATGGGTTTAGCTCAGATACTAGAGAGAGTGATAATTACAGTACTTACAGATGTGCAGTTTTTACAGCTTTTCGTGTTTGCATTTCAAAGTGTGACTCCTAGGGAGGGTGAGTGGACAAGAGCACAGCAAAGAAGCTAAGAGGTGGTGAGTTTAAAATATGAATTGAAAATAGGGAGATTGCAGAGCTACTGGGAAACACCAGGCTCAATGGTGACTTTCTTCATTCTTCACATTCAGTTTTCATTCAAATCTCACTGTTCAAAAAATTACACATCCAGCAATGTATTCATATTTTTAATGAATCCATGTTTTCAAGTTGCATGTCCATACTAATGAAATTCTCTTCATCATTTTTAGACAGATGTGTATTCCCATCACCCGGGCTACTTCTCGCCAGCCAAAAAAATGTGTCACACATTCGATATTCTCACTCCAGATGAGCGGCAGGACGCCAAGCTGATGCCGGTGAGTCCCTAGCCTGGCTCCACCCGAACAGCTCAGGCAGTGACTGGCTCTGCCCTGCACCAGGCTCTCCCAGGCTCTGTGATCAACCATAGCCGTAGTCATACCTTTTGTGAAAAGGACTGAAGAGTAAGAACACAAATGAAAGGACTCTATGTATTTGCTGAACTATACTTCCAATTTAAGGTTAAGTGAAGATTGCACTAGAATCAGAAATTGGCCATGCAGATCATGTTCCTTTAGCCGATGCCTTGTAACTAGCGTTGAATATAGTATGCTCCTTGAATCGAGCAGATCTCTCTTCCCTATGGATCACAGGTTACTGTGACTCCTGCGTTTGTGGTGCGTTCATCAGCGACCCCTGTCTATTTACAACTTCTCTCCCGTACTCCCAAAACCCTCCTCATCCTTCTCCCTTTGTTACTGCTTCTCTGATGCCGACTTCCTCACTGTGCACTCGTACCCCTGCCTCATTTTTTGCTTCAGCTGAACGTCAATCCACTGTTCCGGAGCTGTTCTATGCTGTGTCCACTTTCTCAGAGATGCAACTCAGGTCTGTCTTCTGATAAAAAAAAAAAAAAAAAAAAAAAAAAAAAAAACCTCTCCACATTCAGCCTCCATCATTTACATAAGTGCTAGTTGTTTTGTGGTTAAGATATGTCGCTTCTGAGTTCCTCATTGGAACAAGATCTTAACATTATTTTAAATGGAAGAAAAAATTTTCATAGGGAAAAATCATTGAATTGTATCCATTTTAACTTTCATTACAAAAAATAGCTATTCCAAAAACTAGCCTGGGTGATGGGAATACACATATTCCATTTTTTATTTATGCTATACAAGCTGAATTTCACTCTTTATTTTAATAAAATAGAAGAATCCTAGTGAAACTATTCCACTTCAACATCATCACTGATGCCAACATCATGTTTTTCCTTGGGATCATTTAATATTGTTTCTTCTTTTTTTTTTTCTCCTCATTGAGTTGATTGGTACTTTTTAAGTAAACAGTTCAGTTACATTTACATTTACATTTACATTTACATTTATTCGGATCTTGTACTTTTATGTGACAGATTTTGGTTTTCAGTTTTTCCCCATACTCCTACCTCCCTTTACCCCCTCAATTATTTATAAAGACTTTGTTTTCCTTTTCTCATATATTTTATTTTCTGTTATTTCCTTACCCTACCCACTCCATTTCCCCTACACCAGTGTAAAGAGATCCAAATTGTATAATTGACAATGTGCAATAGGAAGAACAGGCATATTCGGGTTTTTGTTTATTTGTTTGCTGTCCTGCAGCACAGTGTATGCTAAATGCTTCACTGTATTTTTCTGAAAACTTATATCATCTACAAAATATTTTACATACATAAAAAATAGCAACAATATATATTGCCTCTGCCTCTCAGAAAATCTCCTGTAACTAACCCAGCTGCATGTCACTTATTTTACTGTGATTGCTCCAAACTGTCTGAATAGAAAGAAGACATCATGAAGGTGGTGTTCCAGTTGGTGGACTCCTGGAATGAGGCCCTGCAGGAGCTGGTCGTGCAAGAGAATCACCCACCAAAACTCTATGATATTCTCTCAACTAAAGATCAAATAATATATTTAAAATACCAAGAGCTTAAAAAAGCCATTATCCAAATAGGCATCGAGGTAAGCAGTCTTTTTTGGGGGTGGGTACTGGGATTGAACTTGGGTCCTTGTGCTGGCAAGGCAGGCCACTGAACTGCTGCGCTAAATCCCCAGCCCCAGGTAAGCAGTCTCTTGATGATTCTTTGCATTTTAAACAACTAGTTTCTACACATGTCAAGAGTGTTTGATATACTTCACATGGCTAGAATCACATTGAGGCCAAATGTTCCAACTTCTACTTTGCTGTTAAACAAATAGCCTTAGCTAAACAAAATCCAGATTCTAATGGAAACAAACTTTAGGGTTCATCTCCTGACATGGGCCAATTCCCTGCACTGTTCCTAGTGTCTCCAAGTCTTGGGTTCCCATGGGGTCGGTGGTTAAATTTTTTTTTAAGGAAAGAAAATCAGAGCAGAGCTTCTGCACAAGAAATGCTTTCTTCAGAGTATCTTAGGTGGACCACACAGGAAATTAGGTCATATTTTATGTATTCTTCTTACACCATAGGATTAGAGTGGGAAAGGAAAGAGGAGAAAATCTGAATCATATAGGAAGGTCTGCCCCACACCCTAGCTGGATTAGACAGGAAGCCAGATCACCAGTGCTGTCCCACTAGCACCTGAGTTTAGAGCTTTGCCAAAGAAGATCTGTTTCTATACTGGAATGTTCCCAGTTTTACAGTTCATAGAAATTCATCCTAATTTTCAGAGTCCTTGAGGTTTCTAAATGTAAATGTATTTCATAACATTTAAACTTCAGAAATAATTTGTCCTATCAAGATTGAATTCATTTAGGAAAATTTCTATATTAGTGAGACAGCACATTTGTCTCTTTTTAATGTTCTCAGAATTATATAAAGATATATGATTTTTGAGCCAGGCGTGTTGTCACATGCCTGAAACCCAGCATTCAGGAGGCTGAGGCAGGAAGATCTCTGTGAGTTTGAGGCCAGCATGGGCTGAATAGTGAGTTTGAGGTGAGTTTCAACTACATAGTGACACCCTGTTTCGGGAAAAAAAAGCAAAAAAAAAATGACATGTGATTTTGCAAGCAATAATAGAAGCAATTTTATAATAGTTTTTTTTCCTACATACCTGTTACTTTGTGTCATTTTTGTGGAAAACTCCTACAAGAAAAATAGAGAGAATATTAAGCAACACAGGCAAGAATTATCTTAATTTCAAGTTGTTTTTTTATTACTGTGAGAACATTTCTTGAGGAAACAAATTAGTTCTACACTTCATGAATTTATGTCTCTTGTCCAATAACTAATATATTATGGTTCATATATTAGTATTTTACAGGATGTGTTGCCTTAGCATCAAAGATTTTAAAAAAATAACACAAACCTAGATAAATTACAAATTCGCATGCATCCAATTTCAATAAAATGCATTCTTACTCTGTGGGAAAAGTCTCAATAGATCAGGGTCTATAATTACCGCAGACGTGTAGCTCATCACTCTGGAAATGAGCTGATGCCTTCTGAGGCAGCACAATGACTCTGGATCTTTAGGATCTGAGGAGATTCCTGCTTGCAGAGGCCCAAGGAGGGCACAGGACCCACAGCTCTCTCCTGCTCTGTCCAGAACTTTCCTGAAACCCAGTCTTCCCCACCCACAACACAGCCCTCCCCACGGGGATGCTGCCAGCACCCTCCCTCTTATGCTTGCTTCTCCAAACTGCTCTCACTCCATCAACTCAAAAGGCAGCAGCTGCTTCTCATTTGGAACATACTTTTCGGGGTGAAGGGATGCGCCTGACATTTTGTCACTCACGACTCAATTGTCAGCACCCTCAAGCACTAAGTGCAGATTCAACATCTCTAGAATCCCAGTAGTGATACATTATGCAGAATATATTCAGGTCAAAGCATCAAGCAATAAAAGCTGAGATATCAGAAGAAAGGATGTACAATTGGAAGAACAGGGACAGTTCTGAGCAAGTGTAAATGTTCCCTAAGCACCACAGTAGGAGGATGCTCTCCATTGTTCCTTGGTCAAATCCATGTCTACCTTGAAATAGCAAATTTCTGGATCTTCCCCTGACTGCACTTCCAAGAACATAAATCCCTGAGATCACTGCAGGTCAGAAAATTGTTCATGTGTTCTGATTCTAGCTTTTAGATGACCAATAAGTTCATTACAGTCTCAACATTGAAAAAACATTGTTTGGCTGAAGATGTAAGTTTTCATTACTTTCCAAATTAGAATTTAACTTTTAAAGAAACATTGAAACACTAATATTAATACTATGGTGAAAAGTTACTGTATTTTTGTGTCTAGCTTGATCTTGAAGTTTCAGAGGAAAAGGTGGTTGCTCTGAGTTTGGACTTGAAATCTTTGAAGTCAACTGATGAAAAACAACATCTGTTTACTGTTTATAACATGCTACGCTGCTTTGTTGAAGATGCAGACAAGATTAAATTTCTTCTTTACTTCTTGAAGTGCCAAGCTGCCAAAAAAGACAAGTTCTGATCTCATATTCACTCTTTCTGAAATGTTTTCTTGTGATTCATCCTTGGAATGATTATGTTGATGATGCTTGCCTATAATTAGATAAAAATTTCTAAGTCATGGTGTCACTTTATTCTCATTTAACAGAAAGCCAAACCATATGTCATGAGAATAAAAATGTTAGATTATGGTTACTCACTCTACTCATAGAGTAAAGAAGAATGGATTTTTAGTGTTCTTCAGAAGACAGCCATATTCTGTGGTTTAAATTTCACAACATTTTGACAGCTCATACGAGTTCTTCTATAACTGCCCTGACCAAATGCCATGAGTTTACTAAGTCACCTGAACATTGTTAGGACACAGATATGAACTGGCTTTGAATTCCTCCAACTCCAGTCTTCATCCATAACGCAACCACACACATCTCCCTAGCATTGCCTTGGAAACTGTTTACATAATCTAATCACTGTGAATATAAAAATCGAGTCAGGTCGAGGTCCAACTCCATCTCATGCTCAGCACTTTAATACTTTCCTGATGAGATCAGTTCCTACAAGTCTCCTCCCTCATTCTCATGGTCTCCATTTCTCTGACTACATTGGACCTGGACAGCGGGGCACAGGAGAGGAATGGTTCGGACATCACTGACTGTGTCTGCACAGTGCATAAAAATAGGGAGTGAGGACTGAATGATCATGCTCCACGGAGTGGTAATAACCCAGGGTAGATTAACAACACCTGTGTGTTCATTCTCTTCCAGGCATCTTCAGAGATAGGGAGCTTCTGTCGTGGTATAGGGAAAGCATAGCAGGGATTAAAGCAGTGGCTGTTGCAGAGCTGCTTGCCTACCCTTTGCCCAATTGTCTCTGGCTGTAACCATGGATACTTGGGTCCTTCTTCAGTCATCTCGTAGGTGTGTTTCCTCTTCCAAGGAGGGAGATTGTGCAGGGAGCAGATTCCCGGAGAGTGGCCTTTGAAGCTCTAACTTTCCTTTAGGATGTTAGAGCCATTCTGAGATGGCAAGGGCCAGGCTAGAGGAGTCAAGGGTGCTGCTGACGAGAAGGGGCTCTGCTTCCCTTTCTCAACCAACCTGGTATTTCATTCAATCCAGGGGCTTTTTCTTTCTGTTGATTCTTCATATCTGGGAAGCTTTGCCTGCCTTGTGAGAGAGTACCTGCTGTAATCAGTTGTTCCCTTCTGAATTTTACACATGGACCACTCTCTGTAATGGACAGAGAGGGATTTTGCTCCTAGTCAGTATTTCCCTTTGGGAAAAATCAGAAATCAAACATTTTCCAATCCAGTGAAACAGGTGGATGAAAAGGCAACATAAGGCTTCACAAGCTTCACATTACTTTGGAGGGTACTGAGCTGCAATTCTCAACATATATATTTTTCATCACATCTGGTAAAAACACTCATGAAAAGGCTTTCCTGAAATACATGAAAAGATGAAAGATATGTACCATATCTTCAAGGTGACAGGGGGGATTTTCAGGGAGAAAATTACTATAGCTAGTAATTTCTGTTGTAAATAAATTTTAATTAAAGTATTCACCATATTTCAACCACACCATATATTTATAATGAATATGAATATTGTAGATATTTTGTTGGTGCTCCTACTACATCTTCATCCAGCATAATATATGAAATGCAATTATTTGTTTGAATGTAAGTTTTCCCAGTATAATGTACACACTAGAGGGTGCAGGTCACTTTTAAAAAATTTCCTTAAGAGTGATTTGTTATAAAGTAAGGCTTCCACAAGAAAAGTTTAAAAACAAAGGAAGGAAGGCATTTAATCTATATATAAATTATGTGACATTTTAACTGTTAAGTGAGTGGGAATCTCCTTCATCATGGGACTCCTTAACAGTGTCAGGTATAGTTCAAAGTCAGAAAGTGAGCATAAACACCCTATTGACGGGAGAATTTTCTTAGCCTTTCTTATGATAAGGTCACTTATTCCACTCTACTTGGATCAAAGAAAAGGTAAGAGCGTCCTGTACACTTTACTGCACTAATATTTGATTTAAATCATCCTTCCAAACAACCTAGCAAATCCTCATGGACTCCTTGCAGTGGGTGCCTGTCGGCCTGTGGTGTCCATGAGGTGTAGACTCCATCTGATGTTTGGCACTGTGCTTCACACTGCACTAGCAGAAAAGAGATGAACACACTCATAATTTAAAGGGTGATCATACTATAAGCTCCTCAGGAAATAACTCAAATAAAATGGTAGCATTACTATCTTACTTAGAATTACACATTATGTCAACTAACTTTTCCCCAGTATAACTGGTGATATGTTAGTAGTAAATTTTGAATAGTTTGACATACAGCTGCAATGACACTGATTTCTGTCTCCTAGTGTGCACCTGTGTCCCCATAAGGTACCTTGTGATCAATTGTGAGGAGAGAAGAATATGTGCAGGGGAACAGATGGTTCTACACATTATGTGGGGTCTGCTGCAGGAGGACAGGTATAGAACTGCACCCTATTTAGAGGCTACAACTGAAGAACAGTGTTTAAGGGCAATGTTCACAGAAAATAAAGTCTTGTGCTGTGCACATCGGAAACATTGCTTGGAAGAAAAAATGTCATGTGTGTGACTGTATGGATGTTAGACTGCACACCAATTCATTGGCCCTAGCCAGCCAGCCTTGTGACTAGAGTATCAGCCACTTGACAGAAACATGACTGGAAAACTGGACATAAAAAACATGGGGAGGAGAATTATGTGGATAAACATCTCCTGAAGTTTGAAGATGTCAAATATTTGTGTAACACTTAACCTTTTATAGAAAGTAATGTAAGATGAATGAATCTTTAAACAGCAACAGAGAAATCCCATTCTGTGTACACAGCAGTTAACCATCTTTTCAGAAAAGCCTATGATTGCCCCAGTGGGCTCCTGAAGCAAGTGCTCATGTTGAGAGAGCTGGAGTTTAGGAGTGGGCTCAGAAACATTGCCTTGCACTCCCCACACTGACCTGGCTACAGGCACTGCCTAGTGTCTCACCTGCCAGGAGCAAAGTACATCACTGAGCACTGGTATCACAACTTTTTCCACGGTGATCAGCCTGCACCATGATGATAAGTTGCTTATATTTGACTGCTTTCATCATGGAAGTGTTCACTCTTTGTCCTTCAAGAAATACTTATGTCACATATGTGTTTGCATTTCATACATATAATTTACAAGCATCTTCTGGCTTAGAGAATGTTCCATCCACCATTATATTCTTCCCCCTAGCAGTGCTTCTCAGCAAGGAATGCTCTTCAAGGCTAAGGAAGACAGACAATGGGATACTGCTCATGGAATTCACTGGTCTTGACCCATTCCCCACTGTCCAGATGCAAGTGGATGAAAGGGTCATTTGAGGGTGTAATCACATTGCTGCTATGCTGCCATACCTTGCAAGGCTGGGCAGATTTACACGTAATTCTATATAAGCACTTAATCAGTATCCTACATCTGGAATGGTTTCTCCCATGCCCAGGATTCAGGGATTCAGGAATCAATCAGTCAAAATTGCAATGCTTCTACTGACTGTTTCCCTCAAGGACCCACTAGTGACATATTTACCTTCTGTTTGTGTGACATTAAACTCTGCTGAACTAGAAGACAGATCCACAAAGGAAATAGCTTCTCATACTGGAGCAACAAGGAATCTATTGAAATGCAGTCTGAATATTTCCCCTCAGGAAATGCATTCAGGTGCATTATGGAACCTTCATGCACCAGAGCCAATGGTTTGATGGAGAGTTATGTTGCTAATAGTGGAGACTGGTGCAGACTGCCAAGGAGAAAGTGAATTGTTGCTTTGCAGTTGAGGTATTGGTCAATACATTTGGAATGCATGGTATTCTTTAGGATTCTGCTGGTATTCCCATGGCCTGTTAGTAAGGTTAATTGGGAAGTACACCAAACCAATCCAGGAGGTATGAGAACTTGCCCAAGTACTTCAGGAATGAAGGTATGGATTCTCCATCCATGTAAAGAATCTGGAGCAGCTGTGTACCTCCTAAAGTCATATACATAAAATCTAGTTTTTTAGGTATGGATTCCATCCATGTAAAGAATCTGGAGCAGCTGTGTACCTCCTAAAGTCATATACATAAAATCTAGTTTTTTTTATTTCTACATGATAAAGCATAATAATGATTGAATTAATTTCAATAGTTAAATATTATTAAATCTACATTTTTAGTGGAGTCATGCCACGTGTAGTGGAAGCATCACCAAAGGGAAGCTGTGGGTGCTATATATGGAAGGAGTTAATGCTCTCCCAGTTCCATGCATGTTAGCTCTATTATGTTTAGTGGGGATGTAAACTAGTGATTGTATGTTTGTAAATTACCTATGGTTTAGGGAGATGTGTCTGGTTGTGAAGTCAACGTGAGATGCACTGTGACTGCTAATCTTCACAAGTTAACTTGAGTGGATGAAGCAATATCTGTCAGATTAGGCAAACCCAATTGTAGAACTGCCTGTCAGATGTTTCAGATGCCTTTGATGTGTAGTTCACCAACTTTCCTGGGGGAGGACCTAACGTGACTCTGGGTGGCATCCACCAATTAGGTCACATGTCAGGTAGCATAAAAGGGGAAAAAAAGGAGTTCTGTTGCAGTATTTTGAAGCTCTGATTTCCTTAGCTACTCAAGTCAGCCTCATCATCAGGACGCTCCAGGTAGGCTGAAGGCCTTTGATATGGGATTGTTGTGGATTTATTTATGCCTCTTGTTCTCTAACTAATAAATTCTGTGCAGCTGCTATGGGATTTTCTGGCTGCTCAGTATCCAACCACTCTGGACCCTCTGACTCTGAATTCATAAGTTTAACACACACACACACACACACATGCATTAAACCTATCAATGTATATATGTATATATATATGTTATATATTATATATATGTGACATATATATATATATATGTGTGTGTGTGTGCATATATATATATGGGTGTGTCGAATATAAAGTCTATTGATTTTGCTTTTCTTGAAAAA